GTCATCTCAGGTTCTGCCCTCCAAGGAGTCACTGATTGAGCATAACTGGAGATTATCTGTAGCCTCGGTTTTTTATAGATAACCTAACAAGTAGCCTGTCCAGCCCTGCTGGTTGTTCGGGCAGACAGATTATTACAGCCCATACTTGGATTTCATTGTGACAGCACCCTCTATTTTCCACAGTGACCAGAAAAGGAGGACGTGAGACCAATTTGTCAAGCCACAAAATTACAGTCATACTGCACCAAAGTAATTAAGTAAACAATTAGAATAAATTAATTAATAGATAACAATTAAATGACAGTAAAAATTCCTGTTTTTTTCTTGATTTGCTAGTGAAATGTTTGTTTGTTTAATGAGCTCACAATAAAAGTTTCTGTGACCTAAAAAGAAGCTTACATGACCATCTGAGCAATGAGCTACCAGGACCTTTTCTCCTGTAATTTCACACCTTTATTTCTTACAGTGTAAGTCCAAAGGAGTCCCATTTCTTTCATTTACTACAGCATGACTTCTTTATAGTGTAAGCTGTTCAAATTGCACTTCTTCATCTTATGAGATGAAGAAGATATGTGAGGGAATAAATGTGTAGTTAAACTTCTCAGAGGATTTTCACTCGTCCGGCCCAAGTGCCGGTGCAACAAAAATATTTCAGTCTGTTCCCAATAAAAATTTAAAAATCCAGCAGTTCCAGGAATTTTGTATAATATAAGTAAAGACCATATCCAAAAAAAACTTTGCAAAGCAAAAGATAATCATCAGCATGTGAGGGCCCGAAGGCATTTGGTTAAAATAGAAACCAGTGCATGCTAAAATAAAAGTAATTTTCTTTAGTTTTGCTCATTTATTCAATATTTCGTAACATAAACAATGACTCTCTGACATAAATCCCCTTCTGGGGCTCAGAAACCTCTCCCTCGCTACAGCGCCAAGTCATCTGGCTCATCACAACTGGATGTGCAACCATCCGTGTGGCCTTAAGAGAAGAAGGGGAAAAAACTGTGATAAAATTACTTCCCCAACACTGGATCAAACCCTGCAGAAAGGGGAGCACCAGCCACCTGATTAGGGAACACCGAGGAAATGAGAGAAGCAAAGAGGTCCATTCTCTTCAGGAGTGGGAGGGGAAAACTTGGAAGAAAGAATGGGAGGGGATGAACAGAGGGGAGTTGTAAGTGGGATAAGTTGTCTACATGTGTGTGTGTGTGTGTGTGTGTGTGTGTGTGTGTGTGTGTGTGTGTGTGTGTGT